AATGAAGAGTGGGCTGGAGGTGCCTAGATTTGATTATAACAAATTCTTATATTACTATTCAAGTGAGGAGGGGGTGGTCATGTTTGAGGAGATGGGAAAGAAAATTAAGGGAGGTGGGGTTGGTTGATTTGGCAGATATATTGCAGAGGTATGGAGAGAAAATGGCTACTAGGGAAAGGAGAAGAAATAGACCCATTTCATAACAATGAGAGCTTAAGGGTAGTTATTTATGAATCGCAGAGAATTGCTATGAGTTGCTTTGCCCTGTCAAAGAAGCCGTTTGGCGTTTGGATTGACTCATTCATTTTCAGTACTTGAAGCTTCTATAGCTTTTAGTGCCTTGTCAAACAGTTTTTGAACTTTTTGTACTTCATGTATCTAACAAATACTTCTTAATTTTTTTTATAGTCAAAATATGAATCCAAACACCTGTAAAGCATGTCATATTGAAAAGCTTGGTCTAAACTGCAAGGACTATGATGATCACTTTGATGTTTGAATTTACATACAAATTGTTGTAAATGCTTAAAATCTCTTGTTCTTGCTGGGAAATTTGTTATGTTAATACGATGGTATTTAGAGGAAGCTGGTCATGGAAGATATTTTCAGCAAGTCTTGATGAATGAAATTAAGGGAAGATTTAAGGGTGGTTTTTTTTTTTTTTTTCCCCCTTTTCTTTTTCTTTTTCTTTTTGAAAGTAACTTTTAGCTCTTTGAATTGTTGTGATTCTAACGAGTAGCTCATTATACTTGAACAACTTTGATAAATAAAACTGTCAAATTTCCAATCATTTTAAGGGCTTTGAAATTCTTGTTTTTTTTTTTTCTTTTTATCAATTTATAGTATTTATTATCTATAAAAGTATAAAGATTAAAAACTAAACAAGTTGTTATTATTTCTTCGTTATTATTATTCATTTATAACATTTACACTTTATTTCTTTATGTAAGTTGATTCAGTGCATTACTGAAATCTTCAATATATGAATACAATTGGATGTCTTATGGAGAAAAACACGTCTGTTAACATATACAATCATTTTCTTTCTGTGTTGATTAATCCCACCAGAAAAGGCATGGAGCAGTGGTGTATAAATACATGTAATTGAGAGATAAATGCAATACAACTTCAACTATATAACATTCGTGGCCACTTGTTTTTCTCTCTTAACAAGTGTGATGGTTCAATAGACAGACAACCGAAAATCAAACCAATGAAGAAATAACGAACCCAAAAATAAGAAATTTCACAAAGTTGAAAAAAAACTAAACGTAAAAAAATATGGATGAATGAATTACTACAGATTTCTTTAAAAAAAAAAAAAAAAAGAAAAAAGAAAAAAGAATTCCAGCTACTTCTTCAAGGACCTCATTTTTTCTAATCTACAGCTTCCACTTCCTCTGGTTCATTGGTGAACTCATCAAGACTTGGATTGCATATTACGTGAACGTGCCATCACGACGATTGAAGCTCTGCCACCAACAAAATTCACATGGTCACTTACTCCTCATCCTGTGCAGGATTTTCTTGCTATTACAACTACATTGGACCCATATGACAAGAAATATAAAGTCAGAAAATCTGTAGATTCTGAATTCTCCCTCCTCTACTCAATTCTCCCGACCAAATGAAACAAAAATTCATCTTACTTGACCATCCATGAATTGTGTAAGAATCCAATTAATTAAATCTCTAAATGCCAATTAAAGTATGCAAGCTATAAGTGTTTCATGGCATAAATGTCCAATGAGCTATTCTAACTTAGAGGCAGAGTGACCCAGATAGATCTTGCCTACACAAAATATTTGCTTGTTCTCTAGTTGAATAAATGCTGCCTCCTTTCATATGGCTCAAGAAAACAAGAGCAATGTTAGAGAGGAAATTTTAATTTACATAGGCAACAAGGTACCTGAATTTGGGAAAGATATATTGCCAAGCAGAACTAGAGAAATTACCTGTGCAAAAAAATCATACAATTCTGTGAATGTGAGGTGTTGCAGTGCCATATCAATCATTTTTTCACAAATGGTTTTTGACAAACAAGAAGCCGCTGGTCACTCCCATTCTGAAGGTTAATCACTCTTGCTTCCCAGCGAATTTGTGTAGCAAGTGTCCTAGCTTTCTCGATAGCTCCCAATTTATCAGAAAGAACAATCCATCCCTAACAACCAAAACATAGCAATTGTCAGTACTAAAAGTTTTTATTTAAATTAGTGGTTCTATTGTATGCCTGTCCAAGCCAATTCCCATAGAACTTAAAAATTAATAGTCTCACCCTAACGCCCATCAAATCAATATGGTCATGGTGGCAGTAATGGACAGATTGGGTTTATTTAGGTTAAAGAAAAAGAGAAACTAGCAGGAAACAGGGGAACAGGGAGTTGGAGGATCAGTTATAAAAGGGAAAAAACAAGAGTCTTGCAGGAACGGAAATAGAAAAATAGGTGCAAAAACTGATATCTCATATGAAAGATTTGGTACCAACAAAAGAATGTTGCTACCCATAAGGAAGAAGACAGGAGAGGCAACAGTAAATTTCAAATTAAAAATGGGAAGAAAACAAATTTAAGCACACTTGCACAGCCAAGGGAAAATAGCAAGATCACAATATAAGTACCTCGGGATGTTTACTTATTTTTTTAAAAAAAGTACCTCGGGACGTAGAATTCTATCCATCTCTAAGAATAAGTCCATCATACTGCATCTCTGGAAATTATAATGCGAGAAAAGCCCATCTGCGTGAAGCATATCATATGTCCGAGGGTACGTCGGGAAGGATTCACACCTGACCATCAACACAAATCATATTGATGAATCTATTACCTGAATTGAGTACCACAAACTTATTCTTTCAATACTGTAATTGCCAAGTCAAACTTGTTAAAACTTATAGATTTACATACATGAGCCAATATTTGACAAGAAGCCTTCTCAAATGAGCATTTTGATAAACACATGTTTGGCTATAAACAATACTTGAAACCAAAATTAATCAAGTGCTTGCATAATATGTTTCAAACAGGCTTAAAGAATCAATTTTGCTGACCTGACCCAGATCAGAGCTATCGGTCTACTTAGAGAATAGGGATTATACCATACATAGGCAATTACATTAAGGTTCCTTAAACATCACAACCAAGAATTTGGTTTGATGGATTATTAGGTATAAAGCAACTAGACATCATGCTTACATCTTCTGAATGTCATAAGATCACAATTACATCACACAATTGCATAACATAATTGGCATAAACTCTCTCAATCATTTTATTCTCTTAAATAAGTGAGAAGGCACTCTAGTTTAATCTAAATCTAATTAGATCTAGAAACTCTAATAAGAAGCTTCAAAAATTATACCCATAAATAATATACTAATACTGCCGAAATCCCAGTGTTACACATATTATTACAATACAATATTTAAAAGAATTACAGTTCCTATATTATTTAGGACACCTAAGTAACTAAACTGCCTCTACGTAACACTCAGGTTGGAGAAAATTTGATCTCCAGGTTCGAAGTGTTGAGGAATCAAAGCATGATTTTGGAACATTCCAAAAAATTTTGCAAAGTTAATGATTTGCCCTCCCCATCAAACACAAAATTTTTCTAGACTTTGAAAAGGTGTATGACACCCTGAAAATAAAAAGTTGACAAGTTGGTGATTTAGGCTCATCAGTGTACTGAAACTCTGTAGGCCCCTGGTTAGATGAGAGATCTTGAACGATCACAATCTAGGCTATCGTAAGTTTCTTCTAGTGGCTTTTCTCTTGGTTCTTCCCATTATCTCTAGGATCTTGGGCCTCTGCATCCCTATCCCACTCTATCACGAGGTTAAGGGAAGTTGCTTCTGTGACTGGAAGTTGGAAAACCTTAGCAACACTCCAGCAACTTGAGAAAGATTTCGGTATACCTCACCTGATCTTGGGAAAGCATTTCAAAATTCCTCCCGCAATCCATTATGATTCTTCTGTTGCCTCAAACTAGTAAAAGTAGTTAAAAATCATTTAAGTCTGTTCATAATCTCACTGGAGAATCTTATGTCTAGAGTTCAATTCCCTGTTGGTCAACATGAAGTGTTCAAGCTGTATCTAAAAAGGGATGAATAAAGCAGATCTGGTAGAACATACTATGACAACAAAAAGAGTGCATCCAAAAATCTTAAGAATCAATCAAACTACTTGAGAATTGGAATGAAAAGTTGCTCAACCAATTTGGTTGAAGGAACAGGTTTGGATAGTTGAATCTGTCAAAATTGATCAAATATGAGTTATTCCTTACTCATGATCAGTTGGTGCATGGGTGTCCTGCACCAGTTCTGGTCATGCTAGAGAAAACTAGTTTTAGATTTTTGACTTGTCATATGATGCTGTCAAATTGATGGTTGGTGATCTTTGGCATGGGCAGAAAGGTGAGGATCTATTAAGACAGCAGTAGTGCCAGAATTCTGGAGGCAGGTGTAAACACTTTGGGAGGTGTTCACAGTTGAGACACCAGGGATGAGATGGTCGGCATCTCTTGAGCTTAAAAGTACTTGTGATGTAAATCAAGCAGATCAACAGTGGCTGCAATCTCTTGAAAATCAGATGGGTTTGGGATTTGATCATGTAATTTTAGATATCTGAGGTTTTTTTATCTTTAATTGGATGGTTTAGGACTTGGCATCTGTTTGAGAATTTAAGGTTTTAGGATTTTGGAATTTGATACAAGAAGACTTGGCATCCGAAAACATATGCTCTGTTACCAATTTACATAGAATGATTGGGATACTCTGGCTCTGCCGACTGGGAAAATATGGGCTAGACCAAGACATTGTTACCTAGGATTTCTGTAGATGCTACACCAAAGAATTTGGGATTTAGGATTTGATAAGATATTGGATGGAAAAGTAGGTGTGCATAATATCTATGATCTTTTCAACATCACAACTAACATGAGGCTTGATTGGACCAAATAATCATTGATTGCATAACGAAACACACCACAAGATTATGTACATACTCACTTAATCCTAATTATATAAAAAATTCAAAATAAAAAACTTAATATCAAATACTCCAAAACTTTTGCAATTTCCTAACCTATTTAGGAAACCTAAGAAACTAGACCTCGTTTTCATTATTTGTGACTGACAGGTAGCTCAGAAACCATGATTGAACTGCTTCCATGTATATTCCACATTATCTGACATAGATCAAGGAGGTCGCAGAACCATGATCTTTCAGCAAATCTCAAAACAAGCTTCTATGGTGGATATTGTTCAATATATTAAAAATATTCTATCATAGTTCTTAACAATAGAATTATACAGCAGTATCATCACCAAAATGCTTTAATGACACATTTCAAAATTGACAGGTTACTTTCAAACAAAATAAACTATTTGAAATATCTCTTAGATCCCTGGCCCCATCCCAAGCCAGTGACAACCAGTTCACACATTTTCTCAATTAACTATAGTCAAACTTACCAGTCATGCACAACCCCGGCAAAACCTCGATCAACTATGATAGGAAGAGTATTACGAGCATTGATGGGCACGACATTCATCACCCACACTGATTTCTTTTCCTCCAAAAAGGCAGCATTTAAACCACCATAATTAGCATTCATATCCATCACATTGCGTATCATGTTAAATGGAGGTAGTGGATCTTCATCGCCAGGCCTCTTTGGGTGGTCAGAGAAAATCAAAGGTGTAAGCAAAGACCAATAGTTTTTCAAAGCTGATCTCCAGAATTGTAAATCCTCAGAGAATTCTTCAGAATGAATTCCTGGAAGAAAAAGTGCACCGATAAGTCAGCAGAAAAACATGATGCTGTTAACGAATTGAAGAAGAATAGGACAGTTAAAAATCAACCTAGGCGGAAAGAAAAAAGGCTGCATGGTAACACAACTAAAAAATGCAATTGGGTAGCAGGAAGAAAGGTATGGTATTGGATCAATACTTGCCATGGACTTCAAGCTCATCTGAGCTCAACTGGGAACTCAGTGATCTGTTATGAATGGGAATCCAACGCTTGCTGGTAGTCCCACTTACGCATGAAACAAGGGGCTGATAGTACGATGGAGCATCATGTCCTTCTTTGCAAAGTGGTATAGAATCCTGTTTCTAGAGAACAAAAAGAAAACTTAAACATATGCTTGCGAAAATACAGTTGGACAGCAAAAGAAAAAAAAAAGAAAGGAAAGAATAGACGTAATGACATTAAGGGCAAAGTTCAATGTAAGACATCGTTCTGTAAACCTTAAATTCTATCCAACAATGATTTCTTTCCCAAAAAGAATGAGTATTTGCTTTTATTGCTGCACTCACCTAGATAAATAGCAATTAACATCCGCAGTTTTCTGCCAAATGAAAGTCTCATCTTGCTGAGCTAAAAGACTCCAACAGATTTTCTCAGTGAATTCCTCCATTGGAGTTAACATGCTTTTCTTCTTTGCGGTCATTGAACTTGGCTTGCTTGTAGGAGAAGTTAGAACAAAGTAACCTCCAGGCTTGAGAACTCGATCCATTTCTAAGAGAAACATCCCATCTGTTCAATGCGGAGGTTAGATGCAGAGAACTTGGATTTACAGAAATAAACAACTACGCACACTGTAGTTCACCAAAACATCCCATCGAGTTTTGATTATTATATTATCTTAATACGAATAAGTAGAACATACAGTGTTCGATTTATCACATCTTCCACCTTGAATTCCTTAATGGGGGGACTTTTATAACTTAAACGCAATAACTTATGTTCTAATTTACATTGTAATACCAACAAACAAAAACTAGAACTAGGAATTCATCCGAATTGAACCAAATGCAGCAGCAAAAATCTTTTAAAAATTATTACCATCAATAAAGACATGAAAGGAAACAGGAGCAACATATAGATGAATGCAGTTCAGCTAAACTACAGCCAATAAATACTGGAAAATTCCTAATTCAACATTTTAAGAGGTACCTTTTTCATCCCAATATATACCACACTGAGCACAATGAATCATGTCAAATGACAATGATGGATACGGAAGTTGTCTTGAGATGAAATTTCCAATCATTGCTGGAAGACCTCTCTCAAGGGCCAACTGAACTTGGCTGCCGGTTGGCTCATATGCTGCAATGCAAACAGCCATCACCTTCAATGATGCTAGATGAGCTCCAAAGCTACCAAATCCGCAACCAATATCCAGCACAGTGCGCACCTACAAAATTGATATAAAGGAATTAAAAAAATAAAAAAGGCATGCTCCTGCTTGCTGTTAATAAACAGAAAGAAAGAGGGGAAGTAGGGGGAGGGAAGCTTAGAATGAAACTGTAAAAGAAGGAACAAATTATGATATATCTGCCATTTTTTGTTACTATTACAGCAATGCACGGCAGTGAAGTATCATATTAAACAATTTCACCTAGTTAAAATCCATTTTTGCTCCAAAAAGTAACATGAAGATATAATAACAGTAAGATGAAAAGGAGCTTACACCAGCTTGAAGAAATTCAGAGTCACTTCCTAACCCTATCATCTCTGCAAGTTGACGAGAGTAATCTTTGACACCATCAAATATCAACCCATCTTCAGAGTGAAAAGCAATTTGATTCTCTTCGAGTAACATCAACCTAGAGAGTTTGAAAAATAAAATATTAAACCATTATAACTCACAGAGCAACAAAAGGAACAACATGGAAACACATTATTTGGAAGTCAGTCATGGCTTCTAGAGGCATGAGACTTAGATTTAGAAGTCAACTTATCACACTTTAGTTAGGTGTACCTTTTAGTCATGGTTCCAGAAGAAAGAAACTGGTCTTTACTTATCTTCACATTTCCACTCCATATTACATCTCTACCAGCTGGCCACCTTAGGGGGATTTTGTAGTCCTTCGGAGGGCGAACCAAACACCATTCCCATTGTCTTGAAACTTCACAGTGACGATCGAACTCCTCCCCGTCTTGAAACCTGGCCAATAAATTTGCTGTAACATTGTAACAAGGCACATAATTTTCTCTTTCTTTGCCACAAAGTTGAAGCTCTTTTTGTCGGTTAGCCCCTAGTTGAAGAGTTCTTAGATCCAGATAATCCACCGTTGCCTGCTCCTTAAGTCTTCTATAGTTTGTATAAATGTTGGGTACTTGTGCAGAAGTAACAGGATCAAAGACATTTGACGAAGAAGACCCAAAGATTGCAATTAGAGCAAGGACACTGATGAGGCACAATAACAACCAGCTTGGCGGTGGTCTAGGGCCAAAAATGACAGATAATTTGTTGTACCAGGGGCTTCTCATGTCCAAATCCTGCAACTCCCTTCAGCAGCTGACTTCTCAAATCCACTAAACGGCCAATCCCTTAAACCTAAATCTCCAGTAACTGCGAAAAGCATAACCTGTTACAACATACAAGTTTCTAAATGTCTCACTGTGGATCCTGAACATATCCCACCAAACATTCGATCCACCCTTCTCTACTGCTTCCCCCACAAAAA